AGGTAATGACCATTATGCGACCAAAGCCCTACTTCAGAATCTCGTCAAGGCACTCAAGTATTAAAAAAAAAACAGAAAGGAGCCGTGATGCCGTCCTACCGAGAGAAACCCCTAATAGAATGAATATACACCAGATTTGCCATCACTCTCTCGTGTCTTCTCGCCGCAGAAATACCAATCTTCACGCGTGCTGGCGTGCACACCAACAGCTCGTACCTCGGTTGTTTGGTGAGTGCGCAATTTCCGGTCAGGTTACTGTCCATGATGCTCGGCTCCCTTATGGCGTAGAGCCGGCAATTCGGCAGGCAAAACATAAACAACTGCACACTATTTAAGCAGCACGGACGCCGAGATGGAAGAGCCCTGCCTCGTTCAACACCGTGGCCTAAAAGGAGGCGCTACTAGCAACTGCAAGGACCTCCTGTCTGTGTATCTCTACCCTCGGCCGGCCCTAGGCTGACACCGCCCGGTCGCTGGCCGGGCCTCATGTGACGTGGGCCGACCTGGTCCAGAGGAAGCTTCTTTGCGATCGCGGTGAACAACTCTTGCACGTTTTCCGCCGTTTTGGCAGAAGTCTCGAAAAACAATAAACCGGCTTCGTTGGCATAGGCTTCCGCTTCTGCCGTCGGGACTGCGCGCTTGTCGGGCTGTTCATTAACCAGATCAAGCTTGTTCCCGGCAAGAGCAATAATGATGTTCTCGTTCGCTTGCCTTTGCAGCTCCTTCACCCACGCCTTGGCCTTGTCCAAAGATGTCTGTGCCCCCGAGTAGTCAGTAGAGCCGTGCCACCGATCTGGCCGCCGAACGTACCGATTGCGTAATATCGTAGACAACTACGGCACAATTGGCATTCCGATAGTACATTGGTGCCAATGACTTATATCTCTCCTGGCCGGCGGTATCCCAGATTTCGAACTTGACGGTGGTATTTTCGTCGAGAGATATGGTTTGTGTCAGGAAAGCAGCGCCGATGGTGGATTCTCTGTATGAGTCAAATTGATCCTGCACCACGATAAGCAACCGAGCCTCGTGACTTCATCTTCGAACGGGCGTCGGGGGAGTACCTTAACGAATCTCAGCACTATCGAACTCTGATGCGTATAAGTCAGCCTCGTCGGTATTCCCAGCGCTTCGTGCCATGACTGTGCTCGTTACCTTTCCCACGGCAGACTCTCCTGGATGTGCGTCAGTGTTGGTTTACGACGACGACGACGACGGCGACGACGCCGGGAACGGGGGGGGACAAGCATACCCAGCAAAACTAATTTGAACTGTGCGAAGCGAGTGTTCAAGCCGCGGCCGGCCGCAGGCCCTGCCCGAGAAGCCATTGCGAGAGTGTTTGCGGGACGGATAGGCAGGTAGAGCGCAGATGCTGCTGCGCGGTTGTCACGGATGGAAACAAAGGAGACCGGCGGACGGAGACAAGACGTAGACGGGTGTCTTGTGGACTTGTGGGGGACGTTGGCAGAGTCGTCGATAAGAGTGCGGATGCAGCGAGGCAGCGGTGCAAAAACAAGGCGACAAGACGGGGCTCGGGTTGATGGGAGTGCTGTCGCAGTTGAAGCGAAATGGTGATGATGAGAGGCCGGGGCTCTCACTGCCTGGAACTTTGATAAATGGGCTTGGAAGCTGGACGGAGTGACTCGTGAGTGGCTGAGTGGGCCTGGGATTGCCCTGCGTTGCGAGACAGACTCTCTAACGGAGCTGTCTTGGTCTGCTGGGGGCTGGCAGCCGGACACGTACTGTACCAGCGTCGAGGTCAGGTGGCAGCCTCCGCGATTAGGGTACTTTAGGTACCTTGGATAGGTACCTCTTAGGCATCTCAGGCACCTCTTACGGGTATATACTGCGGGGGTTGGCAGGGGTTGGCACTGTGCCGTCCTGGGCCCGTATTTAGTTGTGGGGGCCGAGTCTGCTGAGACACCCTCAGCAGCCCGCCCTCTTCCGATGTCCGCGTCAACAAAATGTCGGGGGCCCGCTGACACAATATCGCGATATCACGATATCACGCTTACGGGAATGTTAATGCATGGCTTATACATCATGTATTGTAATATCTCTGTAACGAAGCCCCATCGGTACCTGTACCGCTGCACCTATGACAAAAGTAAATACGCGTTTCCAATACGGAACACCTAAACTCCCTCTCTACCTACAGTCACTCTCGACTGATGACACCGTTCCTCATTCTTCCAGACTACCAAGCGCAAATTCCAGTCCGCCCGCCTCATCCATCGTCCTTGAAGCTATGAATGTGCGCCAAACCAAGCTGTGTTGTAGCCCGCGATGACACTTCCGTATCGGGACATTAATGTCCACGTTGCTGCCGAGTCCTATACTTTCACCTCGCCCTCCTCGCCCAATGCCCCGGCTTTGGTCATCGACCGGCCGACGGGCGATGTCCGCCTGAACGAGACTGCCTCTATCAAAAGCAAACGTGTCGTTCGCGTCTCTAGTATAGCTGGGATTCTGGGTTTGATTCGTCTGAGGCTAGGTACGGCTCTCCCCTTTTGTGGTTTGGCAGCGAAGCCTGACTGACGGGGGATAGACAAGTATGTCATTGTCATTACGAAAGCCCAGCCCGTAGGCCGCCTGAAGGGGCACATGGTATACAAGATCGTCTCAACAGACTTCCTACCGATGCGAGAACGTCAGATTCGCGACCCCGACGAGGACCAGTTTCTGTCCATTCTGAAGTCATTCATCATGACCGGTCCCATGTACTTCTCCTACTCGCTCGACCTTACCAACAGTTTCCAGAGGCAGGCTGCTATCGACAACTCTATCCCTCTCTGGATGCGCGCCGACGATCGCTTCTTCTGGAACAGATTTGTCCAGACCGACTTAATCGATTTTCGAAGACTGGGAAGTCGGTCTCAGCAGGGACCGCAGCCAGGCGCAGACCCTTTCATCTTGCCGTTAATATGGGGTACGCTGGAAATACGGCCGACAAAGTTCAAAGGAACACCCTTGACCCTCGTTCTTATCACCAGAAAGTCGAGATACCGGGCCGGAACCAGATATTTTACCAGGGGTATTGACGAAGAGGGACACGCCGCCAACTACAACGAAACCGAGCAAGTTGTGGTCCTGAATGACACAGGTGGTGGTCTGGGTGGATATGTAGGAAGCACCGACATGCAAAGCGGCAAGTTTGGGGCTTCTGATGGTCAGGAAATGCAAGTCATGTCCTATGTTCAGACTCGAGGAAGTGTTCCCGTTTACTGGGCTGAGATCAACGCTCTCAAGTATACCCCCAAGTTGCAGATCCGTGGTATCGAAACTGCTTTGTCGGCTGCTCAGAAACACTTCGACGAGCAAATTCGCCTCTATGGTGACAACTACCTCGTCAACCTGGTCAATCAGACGGGCCGTGAGAAGCGTGTGAAGGAAGCCTACGAACAGATGGTGGGAATGCTTCTTGCCTCTAAAGCCGAAACGACCAATGCGGACCATCTTACGGACGAGAAATTCCGTGTTATCGAACCCAAAACTGTTAAACAAGAATCTGACCGCTTGCACTACGTCTACTTTGATTTCCACCATGAGACCAAGGGGCTTCAGATGCAACGCGCGATGATCCTCGTCGATAGGCTACATGACGCATTAATAGCACAACAGTATTTCCGAGGCGTTGATATGCCTGCGAACGGTGGGCTGGAAACGAGAAATTTTCAAACGAGTGTGGTGCGGACGAACTGCATGGATTCACTTGACCGTACAAACGTAGTACAGAGCATGCTTGCTCGATGGACTTTAGATCGCATGTTCGTGGACCTCGGTCTACTCCAACGAGGCGAGACATTTGCCACGACAGATCCAGCCTTCGAGTTCCTCTTCCGCAATCTGTGGGCTGACAATGCCGACACGGTATCTAAAGCATATGCCGGCACTGGCGCAATGAAGACGGATCTAACACGCCTGGGAAACCGGACCAAACAGGGGACTTTCCAAGACGGCAAGATTGCCGTGACTCGATACTACCTTAACAACTTCCGAGACGGGCCCCGGCAAGACGCGTATGATCTATTCCTGGGAGCCTACGAGCCCACGACGGCTAATATTGGCTCATCGCCCATATTTGCCGACCGTAGGCCAATCCTTATCCAGAGCATTCCCTATCTCCTCGCGTTCAGTGTATTTTTTGTTTTTATGGGCTTATTTACAAAACGTCTGCCGGACTCCACTGTGCTGCCTATGCGTCTATTCATCTTCTTCTGGCTAGCAGTGGCCGCTTGGTGTCTGAACTTTGTCATTCAGAACGGCATGTTATATGTAAGTCACGAGCTCCCCTCCACCACTGGAATGCAGACCCGGCTTCGCGTAGACAGATGTGCTAATAGCAGTCGTAGGTGAACTGGCCGAAGCTGAATCCACGACCGTGGGCTGTAGAGGGCTACCAGGAGACGGTCGGAAAGATCAGGAAAGGAAAGGTGATTGGCCCTCTTGTGGCGAGCCACGAGCGCGGACTGAGCACGGCGAGATATCTCAGTGCGGAGGAGGGAAAGAAGAGGATCGAATAAGCTTCGGCGGACTTATGAAGCTTCTTAATATCTATTTGTTGAGTATTTCGTAGCACGGGCGCATGCGTCGTTTGGTTCTCCATCGATCGACACGAGATTCTACGTTTACTTTGTGCTTATGTGTTATAATAGAAAGATATTAATTAGACATTCTGAGGGTTTAATCAAGACGTTAATTCTCTTTGGAAATAGTGATCACTTCTGGGACGTCTATCGGTTGGCCACCCAAGTTACTTTAGAATCGGGACTACAGCTCTGAGCTAGGCATATGCAAACATTGTCCGGCCGATCACATTGCCCGGACTCAACCTAATTACTCAAACACACTCACGTAACGGCTCAACAAAATAGATATTTTACTCGCCTAGAATATACGTATCATTGCGTCTCCCCAAAAAAAGACGAAGTCAATAAAAAGATCAACTCGAAAGCAAAAGTTGAAAGAACATGCCGTGGAGACGAAAGGAGTAAAAAGCACTCTCGATCGGGGAATCGAACCCCGGCCACCTGCGACTTGCCGGAAGATGAACCATCTTCGAGATGACAAGCAGGTATCCTGACCACTAGACCAATCGAGACAGACTAATCGGATGAAGTCGTTGGACGGGCGCTCCGTACTCCGGCTCATTACTTGGGCTCTCTCGAATTGTGTCTTTGTTGGTACGCGTAGAGCTCGTGGAATTGCCATTGAACACCGTATAATTACCTAGGTAGTTTGGGCGGCCGTGGGATATCGGTGTAGAGTCTTCATTCTTGACTAAGAGTCTTAACTGTAATGTCCGAGCCTATGTTCGGCTCGAACAGCCCGGCTTATGCGATGTAAGTCATTCGAGTGCGAGAGATTTGGCACGCAGTGCAAAGTATGATCCAACAAAGACGGACCCCCGACCGACTGCTTTCTCGGCTACCGTAGAAACATCGATATACGTGCGACGTGCTCGTCGGGCCAATACGTCTTCCGGCGAGTCAACCTTTTCATGAGAAAGAAGAAGACAAAGAATAGAATAGGATAGACAATAAAAAAAGAAAGTGATCGACTAGGGCCTGATTCGAACAGACGCTCCCGAAGGAAGTAGATCACATCGAAGCCCACTCCGACTTCAGTTCGAGTCTACCGCGTTAACCACTCCGCCACCTAGCCATATGATTGTGGAGATGCGCCCTTCCGCCGTCGTTATCACGCCGGCTACGGATCACCCCGATCTTACTCAGTACATACACCAACAGGCCGTGGGAGGAATACCTACCGTACTTAAACACCACCGCACGAAGCCGTCGTCAACAAGTTCTCCACAAAAATCATTCGGGCGAATGGTCTAGGGGTATGATACTCCCTTCGCATGTCATTGTCGGTATTGGTAGGATTCACGTCTTACTCTGTACGCTTGACAAATCTCTGCCTGGGAGGGGTCCGGGGTTCAATTCCCCGTTTGTCCAATTATGATTGATATTGTGAACTTGACTTTCTTTTTTTTCTTCTTTTTCTTTCTGAAAAGCCGCTAGAAAGAGGTATGCGTGGGCACCCTTCTAAATCACGAATGCCGGTGAGAGGGGCCCTCACAGAAAAGTCAGACGGGTCACCGACGCAACAGACGGGAACGGCCACACGAATGGCGACAATGACTGCTAAAGCTACATCACCAGACTCACCAAGCGAAAAGAATGCATCGCTGTTACAGCCATCCACTGTAGGCTTTTAGTTGATGTATTACAGCAAAGCCACCTCCCGCCATCGGCAGCCTCCTAGGCTCAGTCTTTCATAGACACCGTGATTCACCCAGGCTTCAACGGGCAGTCCTAGCAAGCCTGTCAATCTTAAGGCGGTCGTGTCACCGGGCTCTTCGTCATCGCCGTGCTCTTTCGCTCTATACGCCAGTTTTCGACAAGGACTTGGAGAGCAGAAGAGCGGCTGCCGTAGCCCTTGCTGATGATACGAACCTCGTCGCAACGAAGCTCCGGACTCAGGAAAAACGTAAGAAGAAAAAGTAGTGTATGTGCCTATCCACCTCGAGTTGTCAACTGCGACGCGCCCTTGAGATGTCTTGCTTGTGCGGATTAGATGGTTTACATGAGGTTGAGCTGGCGTGAATGTGTAGAACCACGGATTAATTTACTCTGTCTTCTGTACTTGAAGTTATTGCTTATCTTGTCGTATTGTCTGTTCATTTGTCTAGAATCACGGCCCTCGCGGATTCTTGCGGTAGACCTCGTGTCTTCACTCTTGAGCGCGGAAAAGGGTATACCCCGTGATAGCCGGTAAACTACATGAGGTATACTGGTGAGTGAGTGCATAGATAATCTCCACGGCTCTTGGAGTCTCTGGATCTCCTCAGTCATGATCTTGAGATATTATTCGGGATGTAGGTAGGTATAGGAGCCCCTGACTAATGTATACGAGGAAGTTATATCCTGTTCTTGGACTGTACCATGTGCACACACACGTATAAACATCACCAGACATTCTTTTTTAATATTTATACTTTCATTTTTCACTTTCGTAGTTGTTTGCCTATGTGCGACTCTATATGCCGCACAGCAGGGAGCGAGATCAAGGGAGCAGCGGATTCCACGACATCGTACACCCGAGACATCCCCATCCCATCCATGACATGAAGTCTAGCTGCGAAATCGCACGGGATCGATCCCCCCCTTTCGACTGCACCTGCTGGCTAATAATGTACAGTTAGAATTCCCGTGGGTATGGTTACAGCGTCCGTGTTCGCAATCAACTACTGTTTCCCTGTGCGGCGCCGGCGGATTTCCTCCATCCGCCTGGCTAGGTTCTGCCTCTCCTCCTCGGCCCGGCGCTCCTCGTACTCCTTCACCCGCTTCTGCTGCGCCCGCTCGGGCGTCGCGCCCGCCACTTGCTTCATCGCGTCCGTGGCTGCCGTCATGCTGTCTTTCAACGAGTCGACCAGTCCGGTGCGCGTCGGGCTCTGGTAGTTGACTTCATGCGCCGTCCCCTTGATGACTCCCCGGGGGCCGTCGGGGATCCAGGGGAGTTGCATCCACCGGCGGATCGTTGGGTTGAGCGTTGCTAGTGTCTGTGTCAAGGCACCTGCGGACATGAGCAGCAGGAACCACTGTATGCCGGCGGCGAGCCACCATGTAGTGAGGAACATTATGGGAGGCAGTATCACCGCCATGACCTTGGTCATTTTCATCTGCGCATCAGTGATGAGTGGGTTGGCGAGATTCAGGCGTTGCGTTTGCTAAGGATCGCACGGAATGTAAGTATAATTGTATACGGAGACATGCTCAGAAGGCGGGTTGGGTCTTGATCTACATACCTTCAAAACGACATAAGTCAAAGCAGCCGAGATGGTGGGGAGGATGTAGAGAGGGTCACAGACTGTCAAGTCGGTGAACCAGGCCAGACCACCTGTCTCTAGGCCGGGCACGGGAATCATGCTCATGTTCCGAAGTAGGCGGAACATGCCGAAACTGAACGGGACCATAGCGACGTTCGAAAAAAGGAGCACCTTGGAGATATTGGCCTGTTTCTCCAGAATCTTCATCTCCGCTCGGCCCGCCATCATGGTGGCTCGATCAGAGGCCTGCAGGCCCTCGGTGAACCGAACCTTGGCGTTCACGTAGGCCGAGCTCGCTTGGACTTTCTGCAACTTGGCCTGCTCCTGGCTGCCGCGTAAGGCGGGATAGAATATGACAAGGCGGAAGAGCAGGGCGACCGCAGCGATCGATCCCCACCAAGGCAGGCCGCCGACGACGTGGATGTGCTCCAGCAGCCACTGGCAGCAGGACGTGGGGCCCCACCCGAAGTCGAGGCCAAGCGTCTTGAGGTAGCCGAATTCCACGGGGACGTCAAAGAGAGACGGCGAGTCGAATTGATGTAGGAGGTGGTCGGGCAGATCGCTCATACCGCCCTCGTTGGCGCCGGCTGGAGGCGGAGAAGGGGCGGGGGCAGCAGTCTCGCTCGCTACGTCGGGCGGAGTGATCGAAGTTTGGGCCTCGGCTGGCGGTGTCTCGGCTGGCGGTGCCTCAGCCAGCGGTTTCTCGAGCGTATCTGTATTTTGGGGGGTCTGCGTCTTGGACTGGAACGGCCATAACGAGAAATTCCGACCGGCGGAGCGTTGGGCGAATACACTGGAGGTTATCCCGACCGCCGCTATGGACGGCGTCCTCTGAGCATATTGAGACGTGTTGGCCCGAAGAAAACCGTGCCGTGACAGAGCCGACGACTGCGACTGTGAGAGAGAGAATTGCCTCGTCGATGCGATCCCCGCGGGCTAGAAGAACAAGACATGTGAGCATGAGCAATGTGCGAGGTGCAACAAGCAACGGGCAACGAGCAATGAATGAGCAATTGGATGCGGCGGAGACGTATATCACCTTTGACCGAGCGAATGATGAGTACCTCAGTGCCGAGGCCGGGCCCCTCGCCAGCCCTCTACTTGGTAGCATTGTGTGTGGTGCAGTCGCGACCAATCTGGCTCGTCGTCGACGGGAGAGATAGAACCATCTCACAAAAAGATGGTGCTGGAGAATTATTTTCGCGACATGATGCGGCACTCGGAGGTACCGGCAGGTAACTGCATAGCCCGGGTACATCGCTATCTGCCCCGGATATGCGCAAAACCGATGTACTTCCCCATCGTCGAGATACGCAATCTACTTTCCGATACATCGATGCGTTGGCTTTACACCGCATTATGTACGGCTAACCGGGTACCCTTTTGTACCGCCATGCCTGATAACGGAATCAGCCATCTTAAATGCAACCCCCCTACCTGCAACACCGGCGATATTGTGTTGTTCCGTGCAGAGCGCCGGTATTCAGACCGATATTCAGACCGACTCCTTCCGGCATCCCGCGGCGAGATGGGATCTACCGTATCCGGGAGCTTCACTGTTTATCTAGGTAGGTGGTATTTATAAAACCAAAGCCAAAGGTATTTTCGATCTCTCGAATTAAATGCAATGCAGCTTCGCAGTTCATGTGTAATCTAATGTAGTAAGTAAGCTACTGGTATAGACCAGATAGAAGTCATCATCTGGGCAGTTTTGATTTGCCTTGGCTGTGGTCGATCCGCACTTAGGAAGGCGGCAAATGTACATTTGTACACACACGAAGCCCATATACCCGTCCAGTCCACATACAAATGTGCCTCATTCCCGAAGAGCCACATGTTTCTGGAAATCCAACACGTTTTAGGTACTCGGCACAACGTAATCTCGCCTTGCTTGGCTCGCGCCCGTCGAGACGACATCATCTAGAAGCTGAAAATTGGCGAAAGATTGGACTGTTGGACCGCTCGTCTCTCTTTTGCCTCGATGGCGGGAAGACCTGCGACGTGTTGTCAGCACTTTGCCACGGCTGGCCTGGAAAGATAGAATCCCTATAGTGTATATAGCATAGCAGGATCGGCATGTAATCGCAGCGTATTTCTCGCGGGAACATAACATACTCTGGTGCCACCCCATCCTAACCGAAAGGCCGCCTCGTGTGCGAACAGCTCGCCAAACCCCAGCATCATGCCATTGATGAAAGGTAGGAGTAGGTTGATGGCGGCGCTCCGAATCAGGGACCAGGTTGTCGGTGGCTTGTAGAGGATAAGGGGCGGCGATAAGGAGGACGAGTCTGGTGATATGGAGAGATCCTCGCCGGTTGAGTACTGCTCGCTGTCGGAGTGCATGGTGACGCCCGACTCGGCCAGCGGGTTATGGTCTCCGTCGGAGGCCATGATATCGGTCGAACAACGGCGCAAGGGAACGGTGGTAACTCGGACTTGGCCTGGGCTTCTCAGATCATGGCCCGGGTGCTGTACTGACGGCCAGGGTTGCGGGGCGGGACTATGGCGGCGATATGACAGGTCGTATTATCGACGCGTTCGGCGAGGTAGATGTAGCGGATTCGGAGAAGTTCTCCAGACTCTTGTGAGATTGAGAGGTCGACGTAGACACTAGGTATCTACGGAATAGATAGCAGTCCCATTTACAGCTGTACCGGGAGATCGTCCGTGCCCCGATAACTGAAAATACCTAGTAACTTCAATAATTGTGCGGGAATATGATGGATTAATGCATAGATATATGTAGCTAATCATGTATTATGTAATAAAACACTTACAGTTCTCGGCGGGCGTAGCATTAGCGCGTCTCCAGGGCTCCATAGCGGGGCAGACGGGGTTCGCGGCGGTGATTAGTGAGCTGGGTACCTGGAAAGCACGGCAACCCCACCATATCCGCCGAGCCCTTGACGTCGACAGAGCTGCCTACGGACTTCTAGTGGAATCGCATTCGGCGCTGGAGATCCCTAACCTTACCATCTCCCTACCGGTACACCATTGCAGCTTCACCCTCCCCATCGCAACGCGATTCTTATTCCACCTAATCCATCATTCCGGATCCAATCACTCTCCTTTGACAGTGTCTGACTGGCATCGTTCAGCTAGCTCCTCAAGAAGTGGACTGTGTCT